TCAGAAGGAGCATTTTTTAAGAATCTTTTAAAGCATTTTTAAGAACCTACCGAGCATTAAAAGTCAACTTTTAATTTTTTTTAGAAACTTCCGAGCAATAAATTTCGTTTTTTAAATATATTTTTCATATTCCTTTAACTCAATTATCGTCGATTAAAAAAACATGACACAACAAACGAGGATTTTTAAAGAAGTTTTTTTTCGAGGACCTTCAGGACAATATGCGTGTATTTTTAAAGAAGCTTCGGGGCATTAATGAAGCTGCAGAAACTTCAGGGCAATAAGAGTGGATTTTATGAACCATCAGGACAATACATACAAAATAACTTTAGAGGTCTTCTATGGTCATAAAACCTCTTTAGAGATCTTCTACGGACAACATAAAATTTTTGACGGTCTTCTTATTGTCCCAAAGATTATAAATCGTCTATAGGCAATAGGTGTCCTGTTAGTCCACAGAAATTCCACAGAAATATAGTTTTTAATAACAGAGAGACAAAAAAAAAGATATTTGTATGCTTTAAAGCTGTTTAATTTTTTTAATTTACAGAATTAAAAGTTATTACAAAAATTTATAAAATTTCCAATTTTCTACACTTGAACCCAAAAAAAAACACCAAAATTCAATATTCAAAAAATTCCTGGAAGGACAAAAAGTCAACAATTTCCTGCACTTGTTATAGTTCGACAAGGAAAAAGGAAACTAGAGAAATCCCAATGAATTCCCAGAATGAAAACACACAATTTCTGACTCTCTATTAATCCTGGCCAAACATGTCGTGACACACATAATATTTTAGGCTATTGAACTGTGACACTTGAGCAAAGAAAAAAAAACAACATTAAAAAGAAAACATCCTTTTTTAGTGAGACATTAACCTCGCTCCCTTCCTCTGTTCAGACATGCTAACACAACAAGTGTTTCAAATCCTTGTGTGTGTCTAAATAAACAAATGAATGAAAATATTTCCAAAATTTCCCAAAAAAGGATAAACACGTTCTGTGTACACAAACGTGTAGTAACAATGATAAGGATTCTGATCAAAATAAATTGCTTTGAAGAATGATAAAATCATTTTTGTTGGACAGAGATGTGACATTATGACTGTTATCTTAGAGATAAGGTTCGTTTGAATATCTGCGGCATTAATGAAGGCGCGGTATCGGTATTAAGAAAGTTAATCCTTAAAGGAGGTTATTCTTGGAATATTTGGAAATAGAATATTCAAGTAGGACCTACGATTAATGTAACAATTTGTCCTATCATCCAAGGCCTATAGATATACTCTACAGGGTCGTGTATTATTCATAGAATGTCCCCGACTCCCTTATTTGATAAGCGATTTGAATCTTCTTTGATGTCCATATCCGTAGAACTCATTCATTTATATCATTTGATTTTCATTTCATATAGAATCATCAGAAGACATGTGATCCTTTAGTTGTATTTTAAAAAATGGTTTGTGTATTCTGGGTTTAAGGGAGACATTTAGTGGACATCGTTTTTAATCATCTTCTGTGGTCTATAAAAAGGACATTTATCTTCCGTACTTCCATAGGTTTGTCCAGTCCTTATAAATATTCTATCCTAACGTCATAATTAAATTGAAAACCTAATAAATACACACAACTATTGTTTGTAATCCTGTCGATCCTTGTGTGTGTTTAAATAAGCAATGACTAATATTTACAATTTCAATAAAAGGACAAACACGTTCGGACGTGAAGTAGCATTGATAAGGATATGAATCAATAAATTCTTCCGAGAAATGATAAAAATCAATTGTTATTGTATTGGACAGATATGTGACATTTCATAAAGTCAGGTTAAATATAATTTAAAAAATCAATTTCGTTTGTCTCTAAATATTTTTTAAAGGGATTTAACCACGTAGCACCCATTTTTGTCCTCATACGAGATGTTGGTTCTTTTGATCTATCGATGATTATCTATAATCTTAAAGGACTAAATTTTCCCAATTAACATTCGAATATACAAACGGATTTTTGAAATATTTTTCCAAAAAACCAACAAAGCTATTTAAGGACTATTAAAAAATAAATAATAATAATATTTTCCAAGTACCTATAAAGTAGACCATAAAATAGTATATTTGTCCAAAATATAACAAAGCAAAAACATTTTAACATTTAAAACATCGAAATATCGGTTTTAGACAATTTTAAGTCGATTTAGAAGTGTTCGTCAATCTCTTTGCATTTCGTAATATGTTTTTCACAAAATTCAATATTAGGGAATATCCCTCCTTCTGTTACCTCCCTCACAAATGGACCATAGATAGATTTCGAAATATTAGTCAAGGTTTTTTAAATCCTAGTTTTAAGCTTTTCGAATCTATCGATTAACTCTTTTTAGAACCTAAAAACAATGATAAAAACCATGCCAAAAAATCGAATAGGAATCTGTATGGACAAATAATCTTCGTCATAGTAATGAGTGTTAACAAATTTTCCTCTGTCGGATCTTTTTTGGAACTTTCGATGCAAAAGACTTGTATGTCTAATAAATATTCCAGTGGTTTCACAAGAGGTCCCTTATCGTTAGTGGGATTATTTGAATTCAACTAACAGAGGGTCAGATTGTTGAAATATCTTTTTCTATATCATTACCATTCCTCTAAAAGATCATATAATTAATTAAAAATTTAGAACAGATGTTGCAACAGTCCTCTAAGTTAAATGAGAGTCGGGTGGTGGTACAAATTTCAGGAGTAAATTTCACCGGAGATTATTAGAATATCTGTCTGATCAGTCCTCTACAGCCTAAAGATCTTTAAGGGAACCCCACCCATTCTCGATTTTAATTTTTTACGATTTTCAATGGGCTGGTAAATCAGTACCAATGCTTGTTAAGGTTTGTAACATTGCACATATATATTTGAAGATTTGAAAGAGAAGAAAAATAATTTACAAAAAATTGTTGTTATTGTTTTTTGTAATTAAAGAAAAGTCCTTATTTTTGATGGATTCCGATGTTCCTCACTGGAACATCGGAATCCGAAAATTCCAACGGTGTTAGAAAGAGTACATGTCTGGCTCTCGTATGAACTAGGATTATTGACTTCGCTCTAAAATTAACAAAATGGTGGACCTTTGAAAAAATATTTTTGGAAAATCGTTGAATTTTGACCAAAAACCAAGTTAAAAAAATAAGGAAGATCTTCACCGATTGGCTTCATCTTAGTTCATACGAGAGCTGTACACTCCCAGAGAAACGTTGCAAAATTTGGAACCGATTGGATTATTAGTTTTTGAGTTATCGTGCCCGCCATTCGCAAAAAAATGTTTAGAGAAAAACGTGTTTAAAGTTTGAGAAGTCCTTCAGCCGTCACTTGATGCTGACACAATAAATCGGATATATCTTCAAGAGTTCTTGAGATTTTCACTTGAAATTTTGTAGGGACATTCTTTAATTAGTGTAGATTAGAATTATATCAACAAAAATTTTGACCCCGAGAATGGGGGGGTCCCCTTAAATGACGTTTAAAAAATCCCCTATCAATTATCAGACCTTTAGATTTTTCCGTTAAATTATTCAACAGTAGTATTTTGTCTAAGTTTAAGCTCGAGAGTTATCAGAACCATTATGGACCATCCATTATCGATTTCAATTTTTTATGATTTTCAACCGGCTGGCAAATGGGCTGACTTGGGACAGAACAATTATTCCATAAGACGAGCTTAAAAAAGATTTTCAGGCCAATTTGAAAGACCATGTTCTGAGATATGGTCTTTCACATAATCTTTCCATTGAATTCGTGACCTTTCCCTTCTGCGTGAACCATCAGTTGGTGCGCTTTTATATGCCTTTTAAGCTGGGGCATCCTCATCCTCGTAGGTACTGCAGCTCGATCCGTCTGAATATGCCGATATTCGAGAATAGTTGGTGCAGATCATGGTTCATTCGATTCATTCGGGGTTCCCTTAAATTTACGATGCGCAATCATATGACGAATACCTTAGGTCTTTCAGACTTTCTGTTTACACTATAATACGGTGCCGTTAGATACTATCGATTTAGTCAATAGAGGGATATCTATGGTTAATAGACGACTGAATAAGTTTTCTATTTAAAAAGTGGGTTAAGATCACAATGATGCCTTTTCGAGATTGGCAGATAAGACTATTGTTTTGAATTTCGCCATAATTCTTCATGAGTTTTCTTAATTTTTGCTTGGAATATTCTCTCAGGTAATCAATAATCCAACCCTAAACAAAAAACCCATTTCCCAAATTTTGTTACCTCCATAAGGTCAAATCTAAGTACTACTAGGGAAATACTGCGAATGAGAATTTTTTGAAGGTATCATAACTCTACTGTAATGAGTCTCCACTTTGTGCAGAATTAACATAATTCCTTTTTGGTATTGCTATACAATGTTTAGAAGAACCTAATGTTCCTTATATATATTTAGATATCTTATCTTTATATTATATTAAATATATATATATATATATATAAAGTAAATAATAGACCTGTAAATGCCTTGTTTCATTTTAAACGGCATTGAGGGCGTTTAGATGTCGAGTACTATTTTGTTTAATCATCAATACTAGGCATTAATATTCTTCAATAACCAATAAAATACCATTAAATTGGAAGCCACTTCCCCCAATTCACCCTCATTCCCCAAAGAAAAAAATGTTATTGTTTTTGTTTTCAATTAATTCATTTAAGATTATATTTTAAAGCTTTTCAATTGTTGTTTTGTTTTTTTTTTGTTTGTATCACAAAGATTTCTTAAATATTAAAATTATTATTATTTCTTCTTTCTTTTTTTTAATATCATTATCTCTGGTATTGGACTTAAGACTAAAGGAAGACATTGTAAAACTAAGTATTTTTCTTAACTTAAACCACTATGTTTATAATTAAAGAGCGATTGTTTTATGCCTGCCGCTGATTTATCACAATTCAAGTAAAAAATAAAGCTTTTGTTTGAAATTTAAGTATTTCGTTCATGATGTAGAGAAGAACCTTAAGCTTGGGCCCAACGATCCTGGAACTGCATCAAGGGGTATTGATAATTGCTGTAACAGTAAGCGGGCTGTACCAAATCCTCATCAACAGCTGGCATAATTGTACTGGTGACTGGCTGCAAATTGGTAGTCCAAAAGAAGGTACCAGCCTCGGTGCGAGCAAAACGTACCGGAACATAAACATCCAATTCATCGTCCTCATCGTCGGCATCTTCTTCACACATAACGGCTAATTTTTCATTGGCGGCATTATCCTCCAATTCGGTGAAATATTGTTGTTGTTCCGCCTGTAAATTGCGATAGTTTTCCAAATCCTCGGAATAAGAGGAGGAGGTTGTGGAGGTGGTATAGCCGGATGAGCAATTGTCGTGATTGCATATTTGTTGATGTTGTTGAGCTTGCTGTTGACGGTGTTGTTGTTGCTGCTGTTGTTGTTTATTTTGTTTCTTGAAGAATGTCTTCAAGACCTTCTTGATACTGTAGGTGGCTTTCATTTTTTGTTTTTCGTTGTTGCACAGAGCCACAAATTGTTGTTGCTGTTGTTGGCACATTGTTAGAATATTTTATTTTCAATTAAATTATTTTTTCAAGTTGATGCTGCTTGTGTTGAACACGATTTGTGAATGAACTGGAAATGGAAATGCAGCGGCTTTTATACCACGCGAGTTCTGTGCATTTCCTTACCATGGGGCACAAAAAACCCATGCAACTCAGACGCTCAGCATAGGAAACGGAGAGAAGTACAGCCAGACAGCCAACCATACTCATGCCCATTGTTCATCGTCGTTCTCATATTACAACATGGAAATAAATAATGCGAAGAGAACCAGAAATGCATGCACAAGAACAAAAACAACAGCAACAACAACATTTGTTCAACGTACGATGAGGCGTACGAGTGCTCACAAGTCGGGCCACAAGTGTGGCTGGCCTCACCCCCAAAAAATTAACACACAAAACCTCCTTTGGGCAACATCAAGAGTTAGTGAGAGAGAGCCTGAACAAGAAAACAACATACAAATTAACCCCCAAAAGTAGTCGATATAATGAGAGAGAGAGAGCCTGGCAGAACAGGTCTCAGTGTTCTGTGCGGTTCGTGGTTAAGGGCCAAATCACGAGATTTTGTAGTTGTTGTTGTTGGTATATTTTAAAATTCATTCATTCACAAAACAGGGATCTTTATTTTGGTTTTTTGTTCATCTCGAGGTTGTTGTATTTTTTATGTGGTTGCTGTACGCTTTTTTGTGCGTTTCGAACCCCTTGCTTGTTTCTAAGGCTCTTCAAAAGTGTGGGAAAATGTTTCAAAATATTGAGCATGTTTTTTCATGTCTTTTTTCGAGGGTTCGACGACACAGTGTTGCGCATTGATTAGACAATTTATCAATGTAAAGAAAAAATCATGGATGTCCTTAGAGAGATAAATGTTGTCTTGTTCCAATTGGATACCGTTACATGTCCGTTAGATGCCGTTAAAATGCTTGTATTGCCAATATGAGACCGTTAAATGTAAATTAATTCGAACTAATTATAGGTGGTCCATCTTCAAAAGAAGTCCGAAGTTCTATCGTCAATAAAATAGAAGACTGGACTTCTGCGGCCAATTGAAGACTGTAAAAAATTCATTTTATGCCCAAAAAAGATAGAGATCTTCATGTCAAATTTACTACATTTTCTATTCGTTTATCAAATATCAATATTTTAAATTCTATATTATTTGAGCTAATATTATGTAGAAATTTCCGTACACTTATAGTACGATTTAGTACATTTTACATATTTTGATGCACTTTTACTTACCACCTAAGCAATACTGGATTGTAGAACTAGCGATGCTTTATACTCCTATTGTAGTAAACGGCTTATTTGTTATATTTGAGGTCTATTGCAGCAAATGTACTAAGCTGAGTAATATTTCGTACAAATTTCTCAAAGAAAAAACCTCTAATCCTAAGCACCTCAAAGTAGGGAAATTAAGATGTCGGAATACCTTTTCCTCTGAGAGTCTGAGGTGCCAAATTAGAGCCACATTGATTCGAAAATGTTTTTGGGATACTGAAATTGTTAGCGGAACCTTCAAATTACTCGGCTAAGAACACGCAACAACTATTTATAGAAACTTAGGTTCAAAAATAAGACCTGGACCTTAAAAATACTGGAAATGGACTTGATTTTTATGTGGAGGATTTTTCCCAATTTTGGGGCTATTTATTCTTTGAAGGGACCCGAAATGCCTAATTTCACAAATTTAAGTTTGAAAATAATACTAAAGCTCTGAATATTGGTCGCGGCCTTATAAGGTTTGTCAAAACATTAACCTAAATTCAAAATGTTCTGTTCTTAGGATGCATATCCTTAGCGAAAGTGAAATACCAACTTAGCGACAGTTCGGTTGGGAAATAAAGGTATAATCTTCAAAATACCGAAAACAAGGGGGAAATTTAAAATATGGGCAAGTGAAATAATTAAAAAATATACCGTTTTGACGAAATATCGAATATAACGGCGGTATCTACAAGATCTGCCCTTTTTAAACCCTCAGCCTAAGGGAGTCGATTTACAAATATCCTTCTGTCTGGCTGCCTGGTGTGCACGACAACTCTCGAAGGGAGTAACCGATTTCATACAAACTTTGCATAAGATTTCTTCCAAACTTAGTTCAAATTCGAAGATGGGGAATATTGGTCCATTCCTTCCGATACCTCCCCACAATATGGCCAAAAGTGTGCAAAAAAATAATTTTATATCATGCGAAGGGACTACCCGATTTGAACCAAACCTTTTTACAATCCTGGGTCAAGTCGGAAAATAAGCGTGATTTTTGAATACTCTTTTACGGCCTATATTTAGGCGTGGAATTTTGAATACTCTTTTTTACGGCCTATATTTAGGCGCGGATTTTTAAATACTATTTTTTACGGTCTATATTTAGGCGTGGATTTTTAAATACTATGTTTGTGTTTTTATACCACTTCGTAATGTTATGACTCTGCTCCTTTTACGGCCTATATTTAGGCGCGGATTTTTAAATACTATTTTTACGGCCTAGATTTTGGTGCGGGTTTTTAAATACTATTTTTTACGGCCTATATTTAGGCGCGGATTTTTTAATACTATTTTTTACGGCCTATATTTAGGCGCAGATTTTTAAATACTATTTTTTACGGCCTATATGCCATTTAACATATCCACAGACAAATATTTACCCTCATGGTTAATTTCAAAATTCAAAACATTCAAAAGTAAAAAAAAGTTTTGAAATCATTTCACGCACCAACCATTCATTGCTCTTTTGTCTTTCATGGTGATTTTGAAGTCATATTTTGTCTACTTGCGTGACATCGGGACACTGTGCGATAACTTCCCCTTCACTCTAGTGGTATCTGAAGCACAGTTTTTTTATTGATAAATACTTCAACGTTGTCCTTTTTCGTGCATCATCATGCTCTCTTGTTGTCTGACTGTATCCTTTGTCCCCCACCTCCAAACAAAATGTGAATTAAATGTTTTCTTTTACTTGACAAGGCAAGGCAGGGCGAATGCGAGACGTACGCGGAGAGTGAGCCGAACGAGAGTACAACTACGAAACCAAACGAAACTGAAAAAAATCGGCAGGTGTTGCTGAAGAAATTTTCTCATGATTTTGAGTTGCAACTTGAAAAAAGGGGGAGATTGTTGTTAATACTTATTTCTCGCTTGGTTGTTTCGATGGCTGGCTGTCTGTCTGTCCGCCGTGTCCCTTGTGGTTGCTTGCATTTGAGGCTGTCTGTTTGTGTTTTTTGTTCATAACTTTTTAAGGATTACGGAAGAGATAGTGTTTTTTTTGCTGTGTGTGTGTTTGTGTTTTTATACCACTTCGTAATGTTATGACTCTGCTCCTTGCACGCAGGAACAAAAACAACAACGACGACATATAGTTGTTAAATATTAATTTGAGATCCCTCAAGAGGATATGGCCTTTTTCTACTTAGGGTTTCCGTGGGAAACAGAGTTTTCTCAACATTCCCACGCATTCGAAAAAACACCAAATTATATGGTGATGTCCTTCCATTCATTCATTTATGCAGGCATTGTTATTATCCTGTTGCTTTAAAACATCTCAGCTACTGGATATTAACACTGTTGTGGAGGGGTGCAGGACGAAGATTTGTTGTGTTGTTACAAAATGTAGGACAATAAGGACAGACTGACGGACAGACAGACCATTTAATTTTATCACATTCAAATTGGACAGAGGCCGAAGCAGAGGCAGCAACAGGAGTTTGGCAACAAGTCAAGCATTCTTTGCTGGGCGAGGGCAACAATTTATATTCCATTTACAGGCAGAGCAACAGCAGCAGCATCATGGCCTGTTCTGGTCTGGCCTACCATCAATTAATACCTCTTTATTATTATGAGCCTGAAAGGAAATTTGTTGTTCAGTTGTTTGTTGTTATTATGGCAGGGGGTATTTTGTAATGTGAATGAGATTCGTGGCGACAACAACCAACAACTCATCCCGGGGAGTCACAGAAGGTGGAGGAGCGTACATTAACCGTAAATTGTCTCACTTAATGACAAGTGCAACTTCTGCATTTAGTTGTGTTGTGTTGTTATTACATTTGTTGGCCATGTGACGACATGGTGTGGAGATGCGATGGGAGGATGTGGAGTGAAGTGTAATGACTCTTGGGGTGGGGTCTTTCCCAGGCTTTCTCACAACAGCATCCCTTGTGTAAGGCAATGACTGTCTGAATGAATGACTTCACTTTGATGCACTGCACTTGCTGCAAGAATGATGTTTTAATGTTATTGTTTTAATTGTTGCTGCTGTTGTTGTTATTATTATTATTTGTTGTTGTTGTGCGTGTGTATGTGGTTGTGTTAATTGAGTAACTATTTTTAATTGTTGTTATTTGTTTTTGCTTGTAGTCTTTAGTGGCGTGTTAAATGGGGAAAAATGTTTAGTTTTATTTGTTTACTAAGCGATTAAAGAATAGTGAGAGTAGCATTTTCTAAGTATGGGGTCTAAATGGTCATGGGAAAAAATTTATTTACTCAAACAAGGCAGATATATGACTATGGTCCAGGAAAGACAAAATAAATTTGGACAGGTCAATAGGAAATCACATTTATGGAAAAGTGAATAGCTCACTGATAGCCGCAAACTTTCGATTGATAATGAGCCAAGTCCGCAATAGGCTACATGTGGTGGTAGAGGTTTATTTTTGGCAAAAATTTCTTTCATAACCAAACCAATGTGTTCATGGCGTAGTTTGTATACCCTCAGCGTTATGGCTAATGAGGGTATATATTTTTATATTTTGTCCAAACTAAGTTCAAGTTCGAATATGGCGAATATAGGTCTTCTTCCAGCTACTCCCTCACAAAATGGTCGAAGTTTTGCAAACATTTAATTTTATATTGTACATTGTACAACCTGTTATCTTTACAAGCCTATTTTAAGTTCGAAGATGGGACCCACTTCTTCTAGTACTTGAATAACCTATTTGATTAATCCGAAAACTCTTTGGTAATAACATATACCTTATAGAAAGCGAATAATAAAACTTGTAATT